AAAAAAAAAGAACTCGACACGACCACGAAGAAAAAAAAGAAGAGAGAGAGAGGAGCTCACCTCAAGGGTGCGGATATCGTCAACTGTTGCGCCCGAAAGAGAGACATCCGTCTTGCCATTAATCACCACATCCACTTCATCGTAGCTCAGCTTGCCAGAACTCTTGATCACACCCTTTCCGATCCAGACATCGTCGTCCACAACGCCAGTGGCGGGGTCGACCTGGAAGACAACACTGACAGTCAGGCGTTCCTCTCCCGGGAGCAACGCACAGATCTCCGTCGACAGCCGAGGCGGGAGCATGTTGACGATGCGATTCACGAGATACACTCCAGTGCCGCGCTTCTTAGCCTCCCGATCCACCAACGAGTTGGGCTTGACGAAGTGAGCAACATCAGCAACGTGGATACCCAGTTCGACCTTGCCATCTGGCAGCTTCTTGACGTGGATGGCGTTGTCCAGCTCTTTAGTCCCCATCGGATCGATCGTGAAAGTCTTCTCCTCGCGGAAATCGCGACGCGAAGCGAGAAGGGCCTCACCCTCACTGGCGACCGTCCAGTCGTCCCAGCCGACGTTCTTCAAAACGGCTTCGGAGAATTCATCCGCCGCAAAGTTATTGTCTCGGAGCAGAGCGTCGGTCTCAACCTTCAAGTCACCCATCTCTCCAAGCTGTTCGACCAAAGTGCCGAATGGATGGAGAGACGTGATGGGCCACCTCTTGATGCAAGCGACAAAAATGCGATTCGCATATTCCTGGTGCTTCTCGACGAAATCGCGAGGAGCCTGTTCGGTGGGAATTGCAATCAGGGGCACGCGCTTGTCAGTAGGCTTGAACCACACAATCTTGGGCTTCTCCTGCTGACGCTCCTGTTGGGTTCGGGCCTGGCCACCCTCTCTGGCCAGGCGTTCCGCCTCCTGCTTCTCCTTCGTGGCCTGGCTGCTGGGACGGAGGAGCCCAAGCGTTCCGGAAAACATCTGACCGGCGATACGCTCGATCACGGCCACCACGTGACCAGCATACAGAGGCTTCTGCTCGTCGCTGATTTCATCTTCCTCCACGAGCAGGAGACTCTGGCCCTCGACTTCAACATCGTCGTTCTTCTTTTGGGTTGGACGCTGACGGAGGCTGCCTCGGCGGCGGATGCTGCCATCTGGACCCACTTGCTGACTGTCCCCGTTGGCGCCGGAGTCGGACCGCGACAGCTTGTCAGCAACAGCCCTCGTATCGGTGATATCCTTGCGCTTTTTCTTCTCTTCCTTTTCCTTCTTCTGGGCCCAGACCTCATCCACATCCAGCAGCTCGACAGCAACATAATCACCTTCGAGAGCGCGGTTCCGGTCCTTGCTACCGCAGATGAAGATATCCGCATCGAGATCGGGAGACGTGACATAGGCATCCGAACGGTTCTTTTTGTTCACCCGCAGGACACCAGCAACCAGTTGACCATTACTCAGCAATGCAGGCAAGTTGGCCTGAGGGAGATAGGGGGTGAAAAGGGTCTTTCGCTGTTGCTGCTGCTGTTGAGCCGACAATTGTTGCGGCGCCTGCTGGCTGGCCTGTAGGCCGAGCTGTCCGTTCAATTGTCCACTTTGCTGCATCGCCTGGAGCTGGGCGAGCTGGAGCGGGTTGAGTTGCTGACCAGCAAACAACTGCGGCGGGGCCATCACCACTTGACCCTGAGGCAGCTGGATGAGCTGTGGCTGACCGGGGTACTGGAAGGAGCCAATGGAGCTGATAGACTGGTTGATGGAACCCCTCACGCGGTGACCAGGTTGGAAACCGCTGCTACTTTGCTGCTGGCCAAATGCAGTTGTCGTCTTCTGCTGATCCTGACCCTGGCCCTGGGTCTGGTTGTTGTTATTGTTGTTGTTATTGTTGTTGTTATTTGGCTGCCGCCAATTGCTGTCGAAATTCCTCGACGGAGTCCGTCCGTGGCCTCGCTTGGAGGCATCCGACTGCCCACCGTCAGAGGGCGCAGGAAATTGGAAGCCGGAAGCACCCCGGCCGCTGCCAACGGCCATTGACTGGCTGCGACCATGAGAGCCTCCCCGAATGTTTCCAGCACGCTGGAGGCCCAGCCCCTGCGAGGTTTTTGATTTGTCGTCCGCACCTGACGGACTTTCCGCGGTATTGCTCGCTCCAGCCGAGCCGGGGGCGGGGAATTGGAAAGAAGAGGCGGTTCTCTTCTGCTGCGCCAGCTCCGCCGCTTTCTTGGCTTCCGGAAGAGCGAGGGAGTGACGCCGTTGGTGACCACCGCCGAGGGGACCGCCTCGTGCGCGGCCGGTACCTCCATTTTCACGGTTTTGGTTTCCCTGCTGGTTGGCATCAGCGAAGGCGGAACCGGATGCACCCGACGACGGGGCGGGCGGTGGCCCCATTCCGACACCAGGAAGTGCGGACTGATTGCGGCGGTGTGAGGGCTGGTTGTTCATCGGGACACCCAGCTGCTGGTGGGCTAGCTGGGGAAATTGGAAAGCGTTGACCTGGGGCGATACTCCCGCCATCGAAGCTTGGCCCTGCATCGTGGGGGAATAAGCTGAAACCTGCCCGAGAGATTGCTGGGGCTGCAGGAGCCCCATGTTCACGTATTGCTGATGGGTGGCAGCAATTTGCTGCTGTTGCTGTTGGAGCAGCTCAATCTGCTGTTGTATTGCTAGTTGCTCCACTATCCATCCGAAATGCGTCAGCCAGACCACCTTCTTCACGGAAATCGACAATGGCGAAGAAGTGAGATCACGTACTCATGAGAGGAGTAAGCTCAGACGGACTTCTCCGATGAGCTATATGGAGTCTTCGGCCAGCGGGGCCGGGGACCCCGGATTGACCTTGCTGCTCCATATCTCCCGATGATTAAGACGTAGTGTTTCACTTGAGAACGTGGGATCTGTAAGGGGAGAAATGGGATTCTCCTGAAGACTCGATGGAAGGATCGTCTAGGCACCGCAGAGGGTTTCTCGAGCCGGGGAACGACCGAGGACTACCCTACCGTGCAGCTTGTCAGAAGGACGGGGATGGTTGATCTGGTCATCGAGTATGTATCAGCATTGATGATCGGTGGATGTCGAGGCGTGAAAGAACTCCAGATCATGGGGTGGAAAAACGACTTGGAGCTCACTTACTATTTTAAATGATAGTCCCAGAACTATGTCGTTGTGTTGTCCACTTGCAAGGATGTCCAAGAATGATGAAGTCTCGTGGACCGTAATGGATCGAGCGTAAAGAGAAAGCGACGAGAAAACTCGCACAACAACCGCTGATGGTCGGAGGAAAATCAGACGGAAATTGGTCGAGCAGGGGAGAGACAGCAAGATGGACCTGTTGTCGATGGTGCGTCCGACGGGAAGGACTACCACGGGGGGGGGGTAGCTGGCCGGGAAAGAGGGGATGACGCGCGGTGGAAATGGAAGCTGGGAAGGATCGAGGGTGCGGTGGGAGCCGTCCAGTTGTCACGAGGGGAGGTCGCGGCAGCCGCAAACCGATGAGCTTCAAGGCAACCGGCGGTAGGAGGAGACGCCCAGCCACAATGGGATGAACACTGTGGACGGAGAGCGTGCTCGCGGACTGGCAGGAACGGGACGAAGCTGTAGGGAAGGAAGCCGTTGAGCTGGCCTTTTCCAGATTGGAGGGCGCGGCAGAAAGCGGAACCCCAAAAAGCCTCCGTTCAAACAGAGAGAACGACAAGACAGCAGCTGAAGGAACGATGGGTGGAGCTGGAAGAAGGAAGGGGGGAGGAGAGGGAGAGGGGGAAGGAGGCGAGGAGAAAGAAGAGGAGGAGAGGAAGCTGTGATGATGATGATGGAAAAGGTGTGGTGGTGGTGATGCTGGAGTGATGGCGGCGCGAGGTGGACGGCTAGGCAGGAAGCAGTAAGCAAGCAGAGGCCGCTGGGGAACGGGACGGGGGGGGA